GTCTACATGCTTTCTTCAGACCCGCCCACACACGCAGGTCTACATGCTGTCTGCCCCACATACACAGGTCTACATGCTTTCTTCAGACCCGCTCCACACATGCAGGTCTACATGCTGTCCATAGAGATGATTCACTGTTAATTTGGAGAGACTCTGCCTGTACTATGGAAGATAGAAAAGATGACACTTTCCTACACATCTTGGGGTGTTTGGGAGACACAGTAAGCCCAAAGAATACTGTTCCAGTTGCACAAGCCTGGTGAAAGGCAAAAAGACTTGGGGGGGAATACTTGAAGCGCCCCTCCAGGTGGGGATCGACTGGGTCATCTGTCTGTCCGTACAAAACCTGTCAGCATGTATAAAGCCCTAGGTTCAATTCCCAGCTCCACATAAACCGGGCACGATGGCACATGCCAGCAACCCCAAGAGTAGGAAGTCTGAGGCAGGAGGATCGCAGGTTCAAGGCCAGCCCGGCTGTGTTAATCAGGGTTCTCTAGAGGAACAGAACCAATAGGGTGGAAATACATTGAATTAGCTTATGCTAAGACAGTAACAACGGGTGTCTTACCCTGCTGTGTGGTCCTCGAGGCTGGTTCCTCAGTGGTTCAAAGCCGTCCCACGGTGGCTTTTTCATCCCAGAGAGGCTAACAATGCAATAGTTTCTCAGTCCACAAGCCTGGGTGCCCCAGCAGTTCCCGTCTGATGTTGAAGATCATCAAGGATCTGTTGGTCCTTGGTTCACAGTGGAAGCCTGGGGGTGCTGGTTCTGATGCTAGGAAGAACCAGGAGGGAATCAGTCAAAGCGGCAACAGGTTAAATTAGCCCGCTGGCAAGAGGGATGCCCAAGCACACGGAAGGGAATCATCTTCCCTTTGCTACACCTTTCTTTAATCTGTGCCCGCTCTACACACACACACACACACACACACACACACACACACACACACAATGAAGGCAGTCGGGGCCATGACTAGGTAGGGCTCCCTTCTTGGTGATTCTAATGTGTGATCAAGATGACATTAAAACCTACCATCCTACTGGACTACATTAAAAAAGAGAGAGCGGAGGGGAGGGAAGTCTGAGATAGACAGAGACAGACAGACAGACGGATGGACAGACAGACAGGCGGATACTGTGCCTGCTGGTAATCCTAGAATTTGGAAGAACAAGACAGGAGCACACGTAGTGAAACTATGTCTCAAACAAAGTGGGTAAGGGAAGAAGACAGCTAACCGACTAAAGTCCAGAAAAATCAAGCGGAGAATGAACTTGGCAAGGACTTTAAAGCAGATATCATACAAATATTTTAGCAATCAAGAGCAAATTCTCTTGAAACAAATAAAAAATTGAAAATCTCAGTAAAGAAACAGAAGACATTAACAAAGGGAAAATATTGACAGAAATGGGGAGAAAGGTGAAATTTGGCAGGGTTGGAGTGAATAGAGAGGAGATGGCAAAGTGTGGACGCTTGGGGGTCCACCTACAGCATCCACATCGCTACAGTTCTGGAAGAATCCACTGCAAAAGCATTTAAAGGGATGATTTTTGTTGTTGTTGTTGTTTTGAGACCCGGTTTCTCTGTAGTTTTGGAGTCTGTCTTAGAACTAGCTCTTGTAGACCAGGCTGGCCTCGAACTCACAGAGATCCACCTTCCTCTGCTTCCCGAGTACTGGGGTTAAAGTTGGGTACCATCACTGCCTGGCAGTGATAATATTTTAAAATCCCCTACTGTGGTGGTTTGAAAGAAAATGGCCCCCAAAGGGAGTGGCACTGTTAGGAGGTATGGCCTCGTTGGAGTAGGTGTGGTCTTGTTGGAGGAAGTGTGTCACTGTGGCGGTGGGCTTTGAGGTCTCATATGCTCAAGCTACTCCCAATGAGACAGTCTACTTCTTGTTGCCTGTGGGCCGTGTAGCACCAAGTCTGCCTGCATAGCATCAAGCTCCCCACCATATGGCAATGAACCAAACCTCTGAACTGTAAGCTGCCACCCCAATTAAATGTTTCTTTATAAGAGTTGTTGTGGTCATGCTATCTCTTCACAGCGATAGACACCTTAACTAAGACACATACATTAGGTAAAAGACTCAAAGGGACATGTAGAAGAGAAATACTCAGAATACAGAGTAAGCTCAGAGTCCTGTCAAGCCATTCATGAAAGGAAACACTGGCAAAGCAAGGTGCAGATGGTGGAAAAAAAAAAAAAAACAAAAACCAAAAAAAAAAAAAAATCTCTGCAAGACACCTGAAGAGGGGAAATGGCATTGTGCATGACTGTGACAGTTAGGCTGTGTCAGGGCTGCAGAGATGGCTCTGTGGCTAAGAGCGCCTACTGTTCTTGGCTACCACCTCACAGACATTTGTAGGCATGCACATGGTGCACAGATGCACACATTGAGGCAAAATACTCACAAACTAAATCTGAAGAAATAACAGAAGAAAAGATAATAGATTGACTGTCAACTTGACAGGATCTAGAATCATCTACAAAATAAAGCTCCAGTCAGGTCTGTGAGAAAGGCAGGCTGTGAGGTAGGTGGGTTTTGGAGGCCATGTCTTGGTCAGGTTAATACAGGACTCTCCACCCTGAATGTGGGCAGCACCGATTCCAGTAGTTGAGGACCTCAACAGAATAAAATGGAGAAAGCAGACTGATCTTCAGCATTCATCTCTCGGCTTTCTTACTGGATGCCATGTGACAAGTCTGCTCATCACTGTCCCTTTCCTACCATGTTGAAATGAACCAGCCCCCAACTGCAAGCCCAAAGAAAATCTTCCCTCTGTAAGTTGCTTTTGTTGGGTTCTTCATTACAGCCATAAAGAGAGAAACCAATGAAATGTTTGCATGACGCATATTCAGCAGAGGGCTGAGCCTAGGACATCTAGAGAGAACTCTTGGAATGGTTTGAGTGAGAAGGGTCCACATAGGCTCATATGTTTGAATGCTTGATCCCCAGTTGGTGGAACTGTTTGGGAAGGATTAAAAGGTGTGGCCTTGTTGGAGGAGGTGTGTCATTGAGGGTGGTGGGCTTTGGGGGTTTTTTTGTTTGTTTTGTTTTTCGAGACAGGGTTTCTCTGTAGCTTTGGAACCTGTCCTGGAACTAGCTCTTTAAAAAAAAAACAGATTTATTTATTTATTATGTATACAACATTCTCCCTCCATGTATGCCCACACACCAGAGGAGGACTCCAGATCTCATTACAGATGGTTGTGGGCCACCATGTGGTTGCTGGGAATTGAACTCAGGACCTCTGGAAGAGCAGCCAGTGCTCTTAACCACTGAGCCATCTCTCCAGCCCCGGAACTAGCTCTTATAGACCAGGCTGGCCTCAAACTCCCAGAGATCCGCCTACCTCTGCCTCTGGAGTGCTGGGATTAAAGGCACCTGGCACCGCTGCCTGGCTGGCTTTGGGTTTCAAACGCCCACTTCAGACTGAGTCATCTCTCTGTCTGCCACTTACAAATCACATTAGTTCTCAGCTACTGTCCCAACGCCACACCTCCTGCTTACTGTCTGCCCACCTCCCGCCACACTCCCTACCATGATGATCATGGACTAGCTCTCTGGAACTATAAGCAAGCCCCAATTTAAATACTTTTTATAAAAGTTGTCTTGGTCATGGTGTCTTCTCACAGCAGTAGAAGAGTAACTAAGACAACTCTCAAAATTCAACGGAAAAAAAATTCCAAAATGAGCAAAAGATGTGAACAGGCATTTCACAGAAGAGGATTGCCAACATCATTGGTTATTAGGCAGATGTTGATCAAATTGCAGTAAAATACTATTGCATGTCTATGAAGCTAAAATACTATTGCATTCTATGAAGCTAAAATACTATTGCATTCTATGAAGCTAAAATCCTATTGCAAGTCTATGAAGCTGAAACAAGGCCACTGTGTAAGGTGCTTGCTGTAAAGTCTGACGAGTTGCATTTAATGTCAGGAACACACTTAAAGGTAGAAGGAGAGAACTGTTTCCACAAAACTGTCCTCTGACCTTCACATGTATGCTGTAACATACATGTGATCACACACCCATTATTCACAGAACAAGGAGAAGGAGAAAAGGAGAAGGAAGAAAAGAATTTGTTGCTTAAAATAAAAAAAGAAAAACTGAAATTAAATTAGGCGTGGTGTGGGATACAGTTGAGGAAATCCTTGCTTCGCCTTCCAGACACCCAGAGTCGGATAGCAACACCACGGAAACCAGGCTTGATGATACGGGCAGCTAATCCCAACACTTGGAACCTGGAGGCAGGTGGTTTGGAAGTTCAAGGTCAGTCTTGTCTACACAACAAGTTCTAGCTCAGTTTGGGCTACATCAGATCCTGTCTCAAATAAATGAAGAAACGTGAGAATAGTGACAATAGGAAGCTGTCTGTGCTGCTTAGTGGTTAGCGCTTGCTTTGCGTGTACAAGGACCTAACTTTAATCTTCAGCATAACCCCTTCCCCCCAAAATAAAAATTCTTGAAAAAAAAAAAAGAGTGGCAACATGAAATTCTGGTTAGAATGTATCGCTTACATATTTTGTAAACTTTGAAAATACCATTAGCTGTTAATATGTTGATTAAAAGCTCCAGCTGGCTGAAACAGGAAGTCACAATTAGTTTTTTTGCTGATCCTGTCAGCTAAATCAGGAGACAATAAAGTGAAGGCTCCCTCCCCCCGCCCCTTTCCTCTACCAAGCTACGAGCAAGTAGAAAAGACTGCTTAAGTATCCAGGAAATACCTCAAAAGATGAAGACACCAACTTTGAAAAATGTGCAGAATTCATCTGGGGCAAGAGCACAGTATCTAGGTCATAGGTCGTGGAGGTGTGGCCAAGAAGAATGGGGATTTCTCCAGCGTGAGCTTGACAAGCCTCTGGGGTTGGGAGTGGGGGAGGGCAGCCTCGCAGCAAATCGGGAAGGCTGACCCCCAAACTCCAGCCCGTCAGAGAGCGGCAGAAAGTCAGGTTCTCCGTTATTCAATTTCTATGAATCAATTAAAACTCCATAATTTCCCAAGTCTTACAAAAATGTGTGCACACACATGTAACACACGGCCGCGAGCCGTCTTGTACACATCAGTTCTGCACATGCGCTCCTTCCTGTGTGCAACAACGGCTACAGTGAACTGATTCTCATCCTTCTTGCCCACAGCAGCGGAGAGTGCTGGGCGTTGGCTCAGAGCACCGCGCCCCTGCCTGTCATTCCATCTTCCCTTCCTTCCTTGCAAGAGGAGAGCCCTGATGGTGTCTGTGCCCCACGTGAGCCCAGGAGAACTGGAAGAAAGAGAATGGGAGGGCACGCAAGGGTGTCCCTCAAATGGCAGAGTGCTCCCTGGCATTCGTGAAACCCTGGGTTCCATCCCAAGCACCATAAGCCAGGCGTGATGGAACCGAGCCTGCCACATCAGTCCTCAAGAGTTAGAGGTAGGAGGATTCTTGGCTACACAGCAAGTTAGCAGCCAGCCTGGGAGAGGTCTATGAGATATTGCCTTAAAAAAAATAAAGAAATAAAGTAAAGAAGCCGGGCAGTGGTGGCACACGTCTTTAATCCCAGCACTCCAGAGGCAGAGGCAGGCCGATCTCTGTGAGTTCAAGGCCAGCCTGTTCTGCAGAGCAAGTTCCAGGACAGGCTCCATAGCTACTGAGAAACCCTGTCTCGAAAAACCAAAATAAATAAATAAATAGGAATTTTTAAAAAGCCAGAATGAGTTGTTCCCCTCACAGTCTCCTCCCTGTGATCCTGGCACAGTGGGGTGACTTTCCAGACGTGCCCCTTCCTGGCTTGGTGGGATGGGGGTGGCTTCCCAGCTGCTTCCTTCTGAAGTAACTTCTCAGTCCGAGCCTTCCGTGGGGCTCTTGCCTGGGGCTAGACAGACAAAGAAGAGTCTCCTGGTCTACAGTAACAAATGTTCCAGGCATTTTCTTCTGCCTTTTCCTGCCAGTCCTGTTGTGTGCCAGCTGCATCCCTGACAGTTTTCCGGTTTTCCTCTGTTCTCACTCGGACACAGTCCTCTAGCGGTCGCTTCTCTGATTTCTGACTTGTGAAAACATAAGCAAAGATGTCCTTATGGTACCGTGGGTAACGCGCACTACATGCCTTGTTTTATTTTGTTCTTTTTCAAAGGCAAACTATTGATTTAATTTGCTTTTGTAAAAATCTTTAGGTGGGGGGACATAGCTGAGTACATCCAGTGTCTGCCTAGTATGCAAAGAACACTGTGTTTAGTTCTCCACACTGCACAAACCCAGGCAAACTGCAGACGTCTATAATTCCAGCACTTGGGAGAGGAGGGCAGGAGGGTCAGGGGTTCAAGGCCATTCTCACCTGTGTTTCAAGTTCGAGGCCAGCCTAAACTAAGTGGAAAATTTTTCTTTTTTCTGTTGAGAATTTTCTGTTTAGTTTTTTTTTTAATTTTTTGTTTGTTTATAAAAATTTCCACTTCCTCCCCTCCTCCCCTAAGTGGAAAATTTTTTCAGATACATTTGACTTACCAAATTTAAACTAAGATACATAATTTAGATAGATCTATAACAGTCAATGAGACTGAAGAAGTAATAATAATAATAATAATAATAATAATAATAATAATAATAATAATAAATCTCCCAACTAAAGATTCACTAAGATTCACTCCTGATTTCTACCAGACTGTAAAGAAACAACATGACTGTTACGAATTTCTTAAGAGGAGCCTCTCTACCGTGACAAATAATTCCAACCAGACCAAATTAGACCGAATAAAAGATGCCCATGTTTAATACAGGGCTCCCGGGTGGCCCGAGAAAGCATGGTGAGGGAAAGAGATGGGGACACCACCCAAAACCCGGAGACCACGTGTTTCTTTTCTAGGTGGCAACCTAAATAGTCTGTATGAGTGGTCCTGACCCTCCCTGGGGAGGGGTCAATGCTTGGCAGGCTTTCCCGGAAGTGGAGTCCGGATCAAGGCGACTCCCAGGGGAAGGTTCTTGAAATGGAGCTTCCTGCTTCATTCCTGCTTCTGTGTCACTCCAAGGATGGGTGCAAGGGGCTGGGGTGAGGTTTCCAACCCAAACAATGGCTTCTCAAACTAGTCCATAAGATGAGAAGGAAGACGCCAGACTCTACTGAATGCTCCCAAACCATCAACACAGATACAAAATTCTCAGTAAAGGACTGGAGAGGTGGTTGGCAGCTGAGAAAAGCCCTGGCCCCTTCTAGAGGAGCAGGATTCCATCCCCAGCATCCACAAGGAACTCACAACCACCTGAAACTCCACTTCTCGGAGTGAATCTGAAGCCCTCTTCTGAATGCAGCAAAGACATGCATGCAGGCAAAAACCCACATACAGGAACAAAAATAAAGTGAATCTTTTTTTTTTTTTAATTCTCAAAAAAAGAAAAAACTTGCAAACAGAATTCAAACACATGTCAAAAAAAGATCACTATGGTCAAATTGTCTTTTTCCCCCCAGAGATGCAGGTATGGTTCAACATACATAAATCAATCAATGCAATTTATCACATAAATTTCTTAAAACAGAAATCACACAGACATTTCAATAGATGAAGAAAGGCTTTTGACAGAATATAGCATGCCTCCTGGATAAAACACCTGAAGAAAGCAGTACGAGAAGGAATGCATGTCAGTATAGTGAAGCTTTTATACTAGAAACCTACAGCCAATGTTATCCTAAATGTGGACAACCTCCAAGCAATCCACTAATGTCAGGAACAAGCTGAGGCGTCTACTCTCTCCTCCTGCATTCAATAAGGTGCTTGACATCTTAGCTAGGTCAATACATCAAGAGAAGGAAAGAAAAGGGATAGAAAGGAATGAGATAGGAAGAGAGGATGGTGTGCTCCTCTACGTAAAGACTCTCAGAATCCAATCAGGAAACTCTTAGTTTTGAGAAACACTTTCAACAAAGTGGAAGGACACAGAGTCAACCTACAAAAAAAAAAAAAATCAGTATATGGGGGCCAGAGAGATGGCGCAGTGCTTAAGAACACTGACTGTTCTTCCAGAGGACATGGGTTCAATTCCCAGCACCCACATGATGGCTCGCAGCTGTCTGTAATTCCAGTTCCAGGGGATCTGACATTGTCACAAAAACACACATGTAGGGAAAAGACCAATGCACATAAAATAAAAATAAACAAAAATTTTACAATCAGCATATGATAAGAAAGAAATCAGGGAATCCCATCCACCATTGCCTCAAAACATAAATCAATAAAAACAAAATACCTTGAAATAAACTTACCAAGAAAGTGAAAGACCTTTTAAAGTAAAACACCAAAAAAAAAAAAAAGAATACGAAGACGGCACTAGAAAGTAGAAAATGTCCATGCTTGTGGACTGTAAAAGTCAATATTGCAAAAATGCCCATCCTACCACAAGTAATTTACAAACTCAATACAACTGCCATCAAAATGCTAATGTCATTCTTCAAACAAATAGAAAAACACTTAAAATTCATAAGAACACAAAAGGCTCTAAATACCTTCCCTCGTCCAGTCTCGAATAAAAGCAATAGCACCTGAGGCATCACTGTGCCCGATTTCAAGTTATACTCTACATCCACAGGAACAGCATGGCACCGACACAGACAAAGACCTCCAGATACAAGTGGCCCAACCTGTGCGGGCACATGATTTTTATCAAAATTTCAGAAATTGCTGGACACAGTGGCATGAACCTTTAATCCCAGAATTTGGGAAGGCAGAGGCAGGCAGATCTCTGAGTCTGACATCAGTCAAGTCTACATAGAGAATTGCAGACCAGCTAATCCCACATAGTGAGACTCTGTTGTTAAAAAGAAAGAACAAGAGAGTAAGAGAGAGAGATTATCTAACTCTAGAAATATACATTGGTGACAAGACGGTTTCTTCAACAAATGGTGGTAGGAAAACGGGGTGGCTGCATGGAGAAGAGAGAAACTAGAGCACTAGATCCCAACCTGCACAAAAATGCAGGACAAATTAGTGTAAGACCCACAGCTCTGAAACTGCTCGTGGAAAACCAGAGAAAATACTTTACAATACAGGCACAGACTTCTTGGTTGTTCAGGAAGTAAGGCCGGCTGATGAATGGGACCCTGTGGAGCTAAAGGAACCTCTTCATGACGAAGGAGGCACACAGTTGAGTGAAGGGACAGAATAAGCGAAAATCGTTTCTACCGATGTATTCTACAGTGGATTAATATCTTGAATGTACAAAGAGCTTAAAAAACTAAACAAGAAATCAAATAACCCAATCAATAAATGGCCTAAGAAAGTAAATAGACTTCAGGAAATGAAATACCATTGTCTTGTAAATGCATGAAAAGTTCCCAACTTCACAGACATCAGAGAAGCACAGATTCAAACTCTATTGAGATTCTGTCTTATCCAAGTCAGACTGGTAGGGGTTAAGGAAACAACATCAACAAATGTGGATGGCGAGGATGTGGACAAGAGGAACTCTTACACACTGCTGCTGGGAATGAAGACGAGTCTAGCAATGATGGAAAACAGAATGGAGGTTCCTCAAAAACTAAAATTAGACCTACCATATGATGCGCTACTCCCCTCCCGGGCATTTACCAAACGATGCCCAAGTGACAGAACACAGAAGTGCGTGCTCATTGGTGCTTTCTGCAGCACTGTCAAGAATTGCAAACTCATGCAACCAGCCTATGTCCAATGACAGGGAAATGGTAAAGAACAAAACTTGGAGATGTACACAATGGAATATTCTTCAACGTGAAGGATGAAGTTACATCATTTACAGAAAATGGAGCAGCTACAGATAATCCTAATTGCAGACCAGTTAAATCAGTCTCAGAAAGACAAACAACATGTTCTCTCAATTGTTGTCCTGGTTTTTGTATAAATACATAAAAGCATGTATGCACACACAGCAAAAAAAACAAAACAAAACTGCAGAAGTGAAACTGTGCAGGATAAAGGAACTAACAAGAGAAGAGAGGAAGAAGACAGGGGAGCTGGGGAGGAAGAAGTACACTCCATACCCAAAAAGTACTTGTACAAAATGTCTTTAAGTAACCCAGAGTCATGCACAATAAATATACAAAATGGAATTGTTTAAAATTCAAAAAAGAATAAACAATTAAAATTTAAAACTAGCCAAGTATGGTGGTACATGCTTTTAATTATAGCACTTGGCAGGCAGAGGCAGGTGGATATCTATGAGTTTAAGGCCAGCCTGATCTACAACCTAGGCCAGATAGGGTAAAACAGGGAGACTCACACCAGGCAGTAGTGGCACACACCTTTAATCCCAGCAGTCAGGAGGTAGATCTCAGTGAGTTTGAGGTCAGCATGGTCTACAGAGCGAGTTCCAGGACAGGCTCCAAAGCAGCACAGAGAAACCCTGTTTCAGGGGGAAAAAATTAGTGAGACTCTGTTTCAAAATAAAACAGGAGTAACAGAGACAAGATTTCTGGAAAATGAAGTTTCCAGAGCAATCAAGGCAAGTGATGTCCAGAAAGTAAGAAAGAATGAGGTTGTAGGTGGGGCAAGCCATGTGGAGAGTTTATCCAGCACACAGGGCCCTGGGCTTGATCCCGAATGTTAACAGAAGGGAAAAGGAAATTCAATTACAGTTTATCAATGGTACCTGAGATCACAGGGCAGAAAGAATGGCAGACAGAGAGGAAGTCAGAGAGAATACTTCAGCACAATGCAGTCCCTTACAGCGCCATCAGAGTTCTGATGAGCAGATGGATATAAGGGGAAACCAGCCATGTCCGAGGAAGAACAACCAGAGAGATGGCAGGGACAGTCCCAAGTCACAGGACGGAACTTACTGAGTGGCTCCTACCTGGCAGGCACATTAGCACACACACCAGATCTCCGCGGTCACCTGCAGCGAAGGTAATATCTTCACTTCTCAGAAAGGAGACTGGGGTTCTCTGTGGAAACCTGTTTTCCAATCAACATCTGCATCAGGACTGAAGGTTCTCTCTCCTGACCCAGAAAGCACATCTTTTACAGATCACAGCGCTGTGTCCTTACAACAGAGCCTGTGACTGGCAAACTCAAGACCAAAAGAAATGGAAAGACAACCACAGACAGGGCTTGGAAGATTTAGCGTACAGATGCCTGCATGGCTCAAAGCAATACACAGAGTCGGCGGAGTCGCTGTGAAAACCCTACGAACACGCAGTCCACACTCAAGGTGTGAGTTCCCTTCCTGCGGCTCTGATAAAGCGCAGCTACTTACAAAAAGCAAGACCTTATTTGTCTTGCGCCTCCAGCGGGATAAGAACCTGCCAGAAGGAAAAAGCATGGCAGCAAGCAGCAGACATAGTGGTTGGAGCAGAAGCTACGGGCTCACGTCTGGAACTCCAAGCATCTCAAGAGAGCACGCTGAAAAGGGCATGTGTTTGTGAAACTTCAAGTAACACACTTCCTCCAGCGAGATCACATCTTCTCAATCTCCCCCAAACAGTGCCACCAAATGGGACCAAGTATTTAAACATCTGCGCCTATGGGAGTCATTCTCATACAAACTACCATACCCAGTAAAACCCGATCCATGATTTTTTTTTTCCTCTCTGACATTCGGGATCAAACACACAATCTTTTGCATGCTAGGCAAGCCCTCTTCTACCCATGAGCTACAGCTTAGCCCATCTCAAAACTGTCCTGACAAAGAAAAACAAACCTGGAGACCTGATGTACCCTGCTTTTAAAAGGTATAACCTACAAAGTTACAGTAATTAGATCAGTGTGGTGCTGGCATGGAAGCAGGCACACTGCACACACAGTGGAGAACCCAGAAACAAACCCATGCGTGGACAACCAACTGATCTTTGTCCAAGAACTCAGACTGGAGGAAAAGGTAGTTTACTGAAAGCATGCCCTCTGCTTCTACAATACTGAAAAACCACTTCAAAACGGGTAAAACTCTCAGAAGAAAACAGGGAGAAATTTCATGGTCCAGGCCTGGGAAATCAATGATCTCTTGGATGTCACTCCCAAAATGCCAGAAATAAAAACAAAACAAAACACACAAAAAAGTCAAATAACTTTACGTTAAAAAGTTTCTATTGAAGAACCAGCAATCTGTGGAGATGTTTCAAATTATACATCTGATAGGCATTTAGTATGCAAAATAAATACATATGGAAATTGTACAATTCAATGGCATTTTTTTGTTTTATTTGTTATGTTTTTTGGGACAGGGTTTCTCTGTGTAGGTTTGGAGTCTGTACTGGAACTCACTCTGTAATCCAGGCTAGCCTCCAACTCACAGAGTTCGCCTGCCTCTGCCTCCCAAGTGCTGGGGTTAAAGGCATGCTCCACCACCACCGGCACAATGACAAAATTTTAATAACCTTATTTAAAGTGGACAAAGTCTAGGACAAGCACTTATTCAACCCAGACATATGAATAGCATCGGGCGGTGGGAAACACTACACATCATCAGGAAGACACCCACTAAAACCATCAGGGAACATCACCTCACACCTCATAAACTGGCAACCAACAAAACCAAGAGATAAGAGTTGAGGAGGAGGTGGAGAAACTGGAACCCTCAGGCAGCGGTAATGAAGTTGCACCCTTATCAGGGTGCCTAAGTCTGCGTTACAGCCTAGCGTTTGTAGCCTTTACACAGCTATGGGTTCTGTGCAATCCTGTAGGTGGGGAAGTAGGAAATGCTCCAGCCTTACTTGGCTAAGAAGTTGGGACAAAACTGTGTGTATGACTTTTGTTTCTGGGGGTGATTGTTTGGTTTTGTGTGTGTGTGTGTGTGTGTGTGTGTGTGTGTGTGTGTGTGTGTGCAAGAGAGAGAGAGAGAGAGAGAGAGAGAGAGAGAGAGAGAGGGAGAGAGCTTGGCACAGCACTCAAGCGGAGCTCAAAGACAGTTTGCAGGAGTCAGTTCTCCCATCACATGAGTCCTGAAGACCCAAACGAGGTTAGCAGGCTTAGCAGTAACTTCCTGACTCCTCTCTTGGACCCTGTTGTGTTTTGAGACAGGGTCTCAGATCCGCAGCCTGGCCTTGGGTTTCTGGTCTCTCTGATCTCCCTCCCAAGGGCTGGGATGACAGGGACGCCCTACCACTCAGGACTAGGGCTCAGACCCAGGGCTTGATGCAAGACAAACAAGTGTTCTTCCAACTGAGCCACATCTCTGCCCCCTGTGTGTGTTTTACTAGGCGCTGCGGATGATTCTGGTAGCCCCTCTGTCTGTACTTAGCCATGGCTTGTCCCAGAACACAGGTAGTCTTTATCTGTCTGAGGGGAAAAACTAAAGGCTCCTTTTATTTCCTTAGAGAAATTTCTTTTTACGGCTTGTCTAAATTCATCTCTACTAGCCACAGAAAGCTTTCCCAGCCTGGAAGAAGTGGTTTGAGTCTCTCCCACCATCTCAAAAGATCCACGTCTCCCAGCTCTCACCCTAGAATCTCAGCACAGGACATTCACATTGTTAAAGGACAAATAAATAAATACAGAAAACCCCAAAGCATGACTTCAAACCAACCGCAGAAACACTTGGTGTGTGTTTGGACAGCATGTGGATAAATATTTGACATGTTTGTTTTACTGTTTTAAAGCTCAGATTCTGCACTAAAGAAACCATGATCATACAGTTTGCAAACAAAGATGTCAAACACAGCTTGAAGTGCTGGGAAAGAGTAAAGAGTCTCCCACGCCCTCATCCAGCTCATCAGCCACTGTAGATGGGTTGGGATTAATTGGTGTTGGTGCCATTGCTTCCCTTTACAGCTGACATCAGACCCCAGGTCCCCGACGGTCCTTTCGACTTTGCGTGGAAGGGCTGAAAGCTGTGACCCACATTCCCATGGCCATTTCCCAGTGGCACTCTATGCTTCTGGCTTAGCTTTCTCTGGGAAGAAAAACTGGGAAGAACTTTCTTGGTACTGAGCCATGCTCCCATCTGGGATAAAGATTAAGAAAGAGGAAGGAGCTTTTGTTCTGATTATAAATGCCAGATGCCGCCACATGCATGGCCCTATGGATCCCTGGTGCTTACTTCAAATGTTTGCTTTGAAAACATCCTCTCTGAGGAATGCTCTGGTAACCATCAGGAGTCAGAGGAGTGGCCCGCTGCCCTTGCCAGAACTTGCTAAAAGATTGCCACCGATAGATTAAAGCGAATCCCTTGGCCTTGGGGTGGTTTATCAACTTTCACAGAGAACAGAGTTTCCCACATGGAAGATGTCCACAGCCGTGAAAGCCATGGGAATCACTAGAGGCCATCACGTGGGCTTCAGGCCAGCAGCATAGAAACTCCCAACAACGAAAGGCATTTCACTGCCAGTATTGACTTTCGGGAAACCAATGTTACTGTAAGTCGGATAGCTCTTTGGTCATTTTTGATTACAGAGTAAACCAAATAACTCTTTGATCATTTTTTATTACCAAATTTGAAGGAGAGCAAATAGTTCAAAACTGAGAGAAATGAGTGAGGGGCAAGGGATGTAGTTTAATTAGTAGGATACATGATGTCCTGGGTTCAATCCCTAGCACCTCATATCGCGAGTGTGGTAGTCCATGCTTAGACTCCTAGCACTGTGGCTGTAGAGGCCGAAGGCTCAGATGCGTAAGTTTGTCCTTGGTTACACAGTAAGCTTGAAGTCAGCTTGGACTATGTGAGAACTTATCTCCGAGTAGGTGGGGAGATGAGTAATAACAGAAGACAAAGGAGAAGAGATGGGCAAGTGTAGAGGAAGAAAGAAAGAAGGGTAAGCGATAACAAGGAACAAACTTTGCCACAGAGCCGGCTCAGCTGCCCCACCATGTTCTCGTTGCTCTGCTATGCTGAGGCAAGCATCCAAGGGAGAAACACCAAGGAAGAGTCTGAATCTGCTTAAGATCTACTAGGTCAGCACTGTTGAGTCTTCCTTTGGCCTTAGGAATGGTAGAGTTGGACCAGCACTGTTACTAATCCTATGTCTATCTAAAACTTTGAAATTTTATTCTTTATGGATGACCTAGTATTGCTCTTGGTTTTTGTTGCTGGTTTTGTAATATATATCACTGTCTATAAATATACCTGCTTCAAAATTCATTTTTTCCTAACTTCATCCTTATAACTGTCATGAGCATGCAGTGCCAGAAACATCTCAAATACATTTGTGTCTTTCTACAGCATCAGATTTTACTGAATAAAGATAAATTTGCAAGACTTAGCAATTTCAGTAAGAACAATTTGCCATATAATCTGCATATCTTGATAGCCTGGCTATGGCAAATACAGTCTTTCATTCCAATCTTAATTACTAATATTTGTTTTGTGTTTTGCCTTGCCATGTTTTGTATTCAAGACAGGCTCTCTCTATACAGACCTAGGTGTCCTGGAACTTACTATGTAGACCAAGCTTGCCTCCATTAATTACCAATCTTAACGTCCTTATGGCATAACACAGAATAAAGGTATCCATTTATCTATGGGCATATATGTGGTTTACAGAATGAATAAAGTTAAAGAGGCTGTACCGAGTTCAAAAGGTTTCAGAGGCAGGCAAAGAATCTAAATTGGTAAGATAATGAACCCGGCGGTGCCAAGAGGGAGCTGCATTGGAAGTTGCTAGGATCAGGGTTTGAGGGCAAAGCTGTGACACAAAAGCCTAAGCAAGATTTAAGAGCAGGAAACGATAGGTCAAGTCCAGACTGGCAAACAGGAGGATGGACAAGTGGCCAACTAGGCCTCATCAACAGCAGAGGGTCAAACAGACCCACGGACTGCTTGTCAGTCCTTAGCACAAAGGCCAGGTATCCGATGGCAGGTTGGTGTGGTGCTATGCCATCAAGAGTTAGGTATCTATCACTTTGGGGGGCCTACTGGAGGGAGTTACATGCTTTTCTTGGTCTCACATGTCTAATAAATTCTTGGGAGTGATTTTATTTGATGCACCTCTGTAGTTTTAACTGATTCCCATAGCTTGCTTTCTGTTTTTATTTTGCTTTTTTTTGTTGTTGTTGGTTTTTTTTTTTTGTTTTCGTTTTTGTTTTTGAGACAGAGTTTCTCTCTATAGCTTTCGTGCCTGTCCTGGAATTAGCTCTTGTGGATCAGGCTGGCCTCGAACTCACAGAGAGCCGCCTGCCTCTGCCTCCCGAGTGCTGGGATTAAAGGTGTGCACCACCACCACCAGGCCCATAGCTTGTTTTCTATTCCCAGGAATAATTCGTTTATTGGTCTGTCCTGGGTAGGAAAGGGTGGTGTCCTTCAGAGGGTGCCATTTCCTGGTCCCACTCAGGGGTTGAAGCTATTCTTCTGACTCAAAATAAAGTCAAAAGCTGATTACAAAATGGAATCTTCTATGGTGAGGTTCAGCCTGGAAAACACTTAGAGGGACAGCCTCACCATGATAGAAAGTGCGGCAAGCATATTCTCTCCCAGCCACATCAACGTAATGAATTATTAATAACATTCTCCCCATTATCTTCTCTCACCCTTACTGTTACTTTTGATTTGCTACAAACATTTCACTCTATTTACTTTTTACTTTTCTGTGTGATGATTTGCTCACATGTGTATGCCTGAGTGTGGAGGCCAGATGTCAATCTTGGCTTCTTAGGAGATGGCCACTTCATTTTTTTAAGGCACAAGCATTCACTGAGATCTGAGTTCCAGAATAAGTGGTGAAGAAGTGAGAAACAGTGAAATATTGGGTTTCATTTGGACACTTTTGCATGCCCACACAACGGGCTTTGGCCACACTCACTCCCCCCTCACCCTCGCATCTCTAATTGTCTCCCTGATTCCGTTTGTTTCTCTAGCATCCTCCCTTCTACTCTCATGCCTCTCCTCCCCCACAATCCATGAGGAAACATGGATTACTTGTCTTTTTGTAGCTAGCTTATTTCCCTTAATATGAAGATCACTAGCTCTATCAATTTGCCTATAACTGACATGATTTTGTTCTTCTTAATGATTGACTTGTGCTGTTATGTTTTTATATCACACTTTCTTTATCCACTCCTCTGCGGATGGTACATAAGCTTATTCTCTCCCTCGGCTGCTGTGAACCGTGCCTCAGTAAGCACCTCTGTGCAAGCATCGCCATCCATCGCAGGCTGACTTGGGTTCCTCTAGACGTGCCATTCCGATGGAAGTCTAGCTAAGCTGCTGAGTTCAGTTGGGTGAACATTGGTATTCAAGGCAGGACTCTCTCCTGAGAAGCCATTTTCAGAGATCCAGGAGAAAGGTTTGTGCCTTAGAGGCTCTGAAGTGGGGAAGAAACACTTACTCACTCAGGACAGTGTTTCTCTGAGTGCTTACTTACAGTCTCGCCAAGGTCACCAGGTACCACCATCACGACCACTTCTTGCTCTATCCCAAAACAAAACCAAAGAGTCTTCCTTGTCCTACCAGCTCAGAGCTGGAGGGCCAACCTGTAACACAATGCTCAGATATAACCTGCAACTTGAATCTGACCAGTTTCCGCCTGGAGTAATGTAGGAGGGTTCAGGAAAAATGCATTTGGAGTGTGAATTGCTCCATCCACATGGGGCAGGCGATGCAGACCTGAGCTCTGTAGGTGCTTACAGAGACGTGTCTGGGTAAAAATGTTCAGGTGGGAGAAACCAATGGCAGACCCGAGGGAAGTCTGCCTGTGTCACCACTGCAAGTGGGAGTGAGACGTAAACAGCTCACAGAGCTAGTGAGATTTTCATTTAATTTTCTTGTTACAACCTGTTAAAGGAGAGCAAGCACATGTATGTACTACCACTGCCTTTGCTGTGTTTGCATGTGAGGAGTATGTATGTGCTCAGCTGTGCACACAGAGGCCTGAGGTCAACTCCACTACAGCTCTCTACCTTATCATTTGAGACCAGCGATGTGGGATTCCCCTCTGTATGCTGTGAGTACCATTGGTTAATAAAGAAAGTGTCTTGGGCCTGCACAGGGAATAGAGGTAGGTGGGGAAAACTAAACTGGATGCTGGGAGAAAGGAGGCAGAGTCAGGGAGAAACCATGTAGCCCCACCCCCACTGGACAGACTAGGGAACTTTACCTGGTAAGCCACAACCTCGTGGTGATACACAGATTACTAGAAATGGGTTAAATTAAGATATAAGAGTAGCCAATAAGAAACTAGAGCTAATGGACCAAGTAGTGGTTTAAATAATATAGTTTCTGTGTGATTATTCTGAGAATAATCTGAGAATATTCTGAGAATAGTCTGAGAAGCCAGAAACCAACAAGCGGTCTCCTTGCAACAGACCAAGTCTCTACCTGAATCCAGAACTTGCCAATTGGCTAGACTGCCTGGGCAGAGACCTCTGTGGATCCATCTGTCTCCGCCTACCCTGGCCGTAGGGTTACAGACATGTTACGTGCATGATAGGGATCTGAACTCAGGTCCTCAGGTTTGGACAGCAAGTACTTCACCTACTGAACCGTCCCCCCAGACCAATGTCAGCTTTTTAATTCCCATAATAACCATTCGTGGGAGATTTTGCATCCTCAGTTTCCAAATGAGGGACCTGAAGCTTACAAAGGGGATTCTTCCCCAGGCAAGCTAAGCAATTTGCTAAAGGTTAAGCGGGACCAGATTTTAACCCCAGTCTGCCTGATGCTGATGTCACGGTAGTTTCCTCAGAACCAACAGTCAGAATGTGATAGCCCGAGAGACAAGTCTACTGTGCACTTCATGATCTGCACACGGGAAGGGGGCTTTACATTTTTAAACTGTTGAAAAGAAAAAAAAGAAGAAAACCATTTTGTGCTTTGGGGAAATTACATGAAATCCAAATTTCAGTGTACATAATTAGAGTGTTTTTTTAAAAATTTGTTTCTTATTTGTGTTTTGTGTTTTTGAGACAGTCGCACGTGTCCCAGGCTAGCCTTGAACTATCTATATAGCCAAGGAAGACTCTGAATCCCGATTTACCTGGCCTCCTCATCCTGAGTGCTGGAATTACAGGAGTGTCCCACCACACCCAATTTGTGTAGTACTGGGATTAAATACAGGACATTATGCATGCTAGGCAAGCACTATACCAACTGAGCTACATCCCTGGCCCCATAAATAAAGTTTTATTGGCACACAGCCCATCTGTATTGTCTGCAGCTGCTTTCATACTGTGTGAGGGTTTAGTAGTTGCTAAAGAGACCAAGTGGTTAATAAGCAAATGCATTTACTGCTTGACCCTTTAGAAATACGCTTGCCGGCCTCTAGCACGTAATACTCGGCCTCATAATTGGTGGTGGCAATTTTTGAAAACTTTAATAGACACTACTCTTACTGACTACCATGCTAATCAATATTCTTGAACATCTCTTTGGTCTTCCCTATAAAGGTTCCATTTGTAGTTGGGTAGATGGCTCAGTCAGTAAAGCGTCTGCATGGCAAGTATCCAAACATGAGCTTGGATCCCCAGCACACACATGAAAAGGCAGGTACGGTGCTGCCCTTAAGTGGCAGAAACATTTGGATCCCTGAAGCTCATTAGGCAGCCAGCCTAGTCAAATCAGTGAGCTCCAGGTTTAGTGAGGGATTTTGTCTCAAAAATAAAAGATGGTGGTCAATTGAGAAAAGAAACCCAGCCAGGGATGGTGGCACACACCGTTAACTCTAGCACTTGGGAGGCAGAGTCACACAGTTCGAGTCTAGTCTGGTCTACAGAGTGAGTTTTGGGACAACCAGGGCATCACAGAGAAACCTTGTCTTGGAAAGGTGAGAGATAGAGAGGGAGAGAGCTAGCAAATGAGAGAGAGGGAGAGAGAGAGACAGAGACAGAGACAGACAGAGAGACAGAGAGAGACAGAGAGACAGAGACCGTATCTTGGAAAGAAGAGGAAGCGAGGGGGAACACCAACATTGACCTCTGACCTTTACATGCACATATATACACATGTGTACACACTTAGATACAAACAAGCACACTCATACGCACGCAATGAATTCTCCATTTTGTCCCTTAAAGATCTCACTCCTACCTTAATGTGCTAGCAACCAGGTCATGTGTTTCTTTTTTACTTCCTTCCATTCCTCCACTCGCAGAACCAAAGTCCAGGGAGCTTAGATGCAACTGCTGGCTTCTCAACACTCTTGGGGTTTCTGCCATCCCCGAGAAGAGGGAACAGGAAGTTAGGACGAGAAAGCACACTGAGGAGCAGTAAAGAGCATTTTGCAGGCGGACACCACCACACCACACCACAGACAGAACAGCAGAGTGCGTGCAGAACTCTGTTTGAAGAGCTCATTTCTGATGCCCCCTCCCCCAGGACTTTCTGCTGCCTGCTTCTCTTCCACAGTCACTCTGCTGGCCTGGCAACCCAGCATCATTATGTAAAACGTTCTGGGAATCTCACAGCCAGTTCCCAGCTTCCCGAGTCTAGCCCCCAAGCATTATTCATAATGCTAATGTCATCACTCTGAGCCAATTGCACTCCCATAATGCCCTTCAAGCAGAGAAGAAAAAAAAAGTCTAGAGAAACATCTGTCCCACAGAACTCAAAGGTTGACAACCTTATCGCAGCTCCCAGCTGCATAGCTTCAGAGGTGTCACCTCTTCATTGGTTCTTTCAGAGTTTCCCAGGCGTGCCTTCCAGCTTGTGATGTTATTAGGACGTTCAGCATCCACTACAGGAATTCATCAAACTGGCGCAATACAGCTGGGGTCAGAATTCAGTAGCTCGGTTGGTATCGCGCTTGCCTAACACGCGTGATGCCCTGGGCTGAATCCCAACACGACACGGACTGGGTGTGGTGGGACACTCCTATAATTCCAGCACTCAGGGTGGATGCAGGTGAATCCGGAGTTCAGAGTCATCCTTGGCTACACAAGTGGTATACATGCTTGCCTCATGCAAAGAGCCCTAGGTTCAAGCCCCAGGACCGAAAACCAGGCATGGTGGCCCACACCTGTGATCCCAGAACTCAGGAAATGGAGGCAGGAGGATTGAAAGTACAGGGTCATCTTCGACTTTATAGCAAGGATAAGGTCAGCCTAGACTATATGAGATTCTGTAAAATGAAGAAAAGAAGGGAAGGAGGGAGAGAGGGAGATAGGAGGGGAGAGAGGAGGGAGGGAATCAGTGGAGAAAGGGTATTATTAACGCAGAGGGCAGAACGCTTGTCTACGGATAGTGAGGTACAGTTTTCTTAGCCAAAATCATTATTTTTTTTCAAGGAAGGATTTCTCTGTATAACAGCGCTGGCTGTCCTTGAACTCATTCTGTAGATCAGGCTAGCCTCAAATTCGTTGAGATTCACCTGCTTCTGCCCCCCAAGTGCTAGGATTAAAGGCGTAAGCCACCACCCAGCTCAAAGTCAATTTTTTATAGCTAGAAATTTTGTGTCTGCTCCTGGTCTTCAGTGGTTGGTTTTCTTTTTCAATCACCAGTTTGGTTAAAAGACCTTCCCATCAGGAAACTATTCCCCACAATCCAAGTGTGTGACCGAATCTAGAAATGTATTCTATGTCTACAGGTTCCCAGCCATCTAATATGGTCAATTATCTGCCAAAGCCAAAGAAATCCTTAGAGTACACTATGCATGATCCTGCTTTTCAGACCGACTGCATGAAATGCACTTGTATTTTGACAAACTTAGCTGGAAGGAAATAACTTAAATCAGAAGGAGGCTTGGTTTAAAACTCTATTGTCTGTGTGGCTAGTACTTTTTTCTAGATGATTCTAGAAACAATAAATATGATTCTTGAGGGTGTCTACTCTGGAAGTTGTTTTTACCCTTCTTCATCAATCACCATGAGACCCCGAGGGTCTACTGAAAAGCATTTCCCTGGAACAGAGCCGGGAAAGGGAACACTAAGAACTTGGGTGAATTGCTCTAACTTCGCATGTGACCGAGCTGTTAGAGCACCTGGTTCTAGGGTCTCAACCCAAGACCAGTGTGGAACATTCTCTCCGAGACTCTTGATAATACACTAGAGATGACTTGTGGTGAGACAGTACAGGATCAAAGTTTCAAAATTCAAACAACTTGGAGATGCAGAGTGCCTGCTTAGCATGGAGGGAACATGGGTTCAGACTCCACCACCGTATGAACAGAGCATGCTAACACACGCCAGTCATGCCAGCACTTAGGTGACAGAGGCAAGAAAGTCAGGAGTTTAAAGTCATCCCTGCTTACATGGGAAGTTCAGGGCTAGCCTGGGCTGCAGTAGACCATGTCTTTTAAAAAAAATAGTATTTGCCACACAAACATCAAGACTTGAATTCAGGTCATCAACATCCACACAAAAGCCATTTATGGTAGCTATAATATCATTGCTGTGCAGACAGGCGGTTCCCTGGTGCTCACTGGCCAGTCAGACTTGCCAGTCATTAAGCTCCAGGTTCAGCTGAGAGACCCTGTGTCAAAAAATAAAGTGGAGAGCAATTGAGGAAGACACTTGAACCTGGGGCCTTCACAAGCAACCAGACATGCCTGTACCACACTCATATTAACATACATACACATCTGGGGGGACACCCTAAGGAAAGGAGAGAAGAAGAGAGGGGGGAGGGGAGGGGGGGGGGGGTAGGAGGAGAAGGGGTGAGGAGAGAAGAGGAGGGGGGGAAGGAGAGGGGAAGGAAGGGGAGGGGGAAGGAGTGGAGAAGAGAGGAGAGAAGAGGAAAAAGAAAGGGAGGGGAAGGGAGGGAGGGGAGGAGAGAAGAGGGGAGAGCAGAGGGAAAGGGAGGGATGGTAGGAGGAGAAGGGGAGAGGAGAGGAGGGGAAGGAAGGGGAGGGGAGGAGAAGGAAGGGAGGGGAGGGAGGGGAGGAAAGAAGAGGGGAGAGAGGAGGGGGAGAGGGGGAGGGGAGAGATGGTAGGAGGAGAAGGGGAGAGGAGAGGAGAGGAGAGGAGGAGAGGGAAAAGGAGGGGAGGGGAGAAAAGAATAGGGGAGAGGAGAGGAGGGGGAAAAGAAAGGGAAGGGAGGGGATTTAAAATTTCCCTTTAAAATTCGGGAAAAAGCTGAGTCAGACCTTGTCAAAAGCCTCCCTGAAACCTGAGAGCATGTAGCAACATGAGTTTTTCTTTTAAAAAACGTACACAGCAACTTTTATCCTAAGATCTCAAAGTATTCTGCAAAAGTAAAGTTGCTTAACATCCCTTAGAGGGCCAACCATCCAGTGCTGCCAGAGCCTCCAAATCAGCGCCCTAACCTCTGTACTACTGACACCAGGACCTAGGGAAATGCTTGTCATGTGGGTCACAGTGGCTGTCTGTGCACTGAGGGCTGTCTGGCAGCATTCCAGACTTCTCCCCACTCAGGTTTGTGACGCAGGAAAATGTCTCCACCTACAGCCAAAGATCCTCCGAGATATGGAAGGGACAGAGGGAGTTCCAGCTGAGAGCCACTGTTCTCCATTAGAATCAGCATGTGCGAAGCCATTAGTAGTTCTATACATCATCACCTGGTCAAACTGCAGTCTCAAGATGACAAAAAAAAAGTCATGACTCCCGTGTGTCAATAGAACCGACGCTACACCCTCCCTTCGGGGGACTTCTCTCTGTGACTGTCCCTGAGTCCTCACTCACTCCTGAGACAGGGTAACTCTGAGGTCACAGCCACAAGGACTTGTCAGTCTAGATTCTGCCTCATGCTGCACTGGACAGCCAGGCGAGTTGTGTCCCTCTGATCAGTGTGTTCCCTCAGGGAGGAGTATGAGCATTCTGAGCCTAGATCCTCTCTGATTTGCATGACAGTCTGCCACAGGCTGAGGGATCTAGGAAGGGAGACTTGTTGATTTTGCTGTCTCTTCAACCTGTCAACCACTATGTTTGTTAATCTGTTTATTGATTTACTTGCAGTGCGTCTTTGGAACTAACTTGCAACATGCACGTTAACTGATTGATTTAAGCAGAACGTTCCATTTGCATAGAAACGTTTATTGGATGTGCCCATGCTTGCCTCGCAATGGACTGTAAACTGCCTGCTACTCCCTCTCCTTTGTTCGCATCAGCATGTGAACTTGATGATCCCTTCCCTGAGTCACTTAAAGCAGGTAAAGATTAGCTTGAGCAATAAACCAACTCAAGCATTATGGGAATAGAGACAGGTGTAACCCCCCCCGCCCCCTCCTGACAGAAGAACTAATGCATATTCATTCGGAGACACAGGCAATCAGGGGCTTAAAGGGAAGCAGCTAGTTCGACATTCACAGTTTTTGTTCCCATGATACTTCAAAGAATTAGGTTTTCAACTATACTGTCCCCCAGAGTGTGTGTGTGGGGGGGGGGCGAATGTAGTAGAAGGTGCTCTAAATTTAGGATCAAAATTGAGGCTCAGACAGTAGCATGCTTGCCAAATAAGGATGAGGACCTGAACTTGGATCTCTAGAGCCTACAGAAAAGGCCAGGGGTGATGTCATGTGGCTGTGACCCCAAGACGAAGCCGGTGGAGACAGAAGAGTCTCTGGCACACACCAGGCAGCAAGGCTTTCCAGATAAGTGTGTGAAAGAACCAACCTGTCTCTAAGAAACAATGCTGGAGAGTGACAAAGACACATGCCAACCTCAGCCTTCAACATCCATGTGCATACACACGCACACACACGCACACACGTGCACCCACACACACACACACATGCACACACACATTGGTTGTCCCATGTTCCAGTTGTGTATCTTGGAGTGTGTTACAGCAAGCGGCTGCACGAGGTGACAGGGTTGGTCTGAAGCTGCACAGCCAGCACTTACCCGCTTGTCAACCTTGATTCGAGTCACTGACCTCAAAACCCTCAACAGTTTGCACACCACTTCGCTGCCATCGCTCACCCACAGCCTCTGTTTTATACGAAGAGGGGGCATGAATAAACAAGCTAACAGGCTTCCTCCTGAAATATAGCAATTAATAGGAATACCCAAAGAAAATGGTGTTGATACGCCATGTAACCTAGCAGAGTATATACGACTTATAACCAACAAGATTCTTAAGAAAGAGTTAATATAAAATTTGAGACAGGAGCAAGTCTGAGCATGTCTATTGGGGCCTCCCCTTCTTTTTGACTGTTAAATTCCAGGGGCCAAACAGAACAAGGGCTTGTCTGAGGATCTGGTGGGAGACTGTGTTCTGATGGGAAGAAACCAAAAGATCAGACAATGGCTATCC